CTGCTGCTACTAGTACTGCTACTACTACTGCTACTACTACGGCTACTGCTACTGCTGCTACTGCTACTGCTACTGCTAACGCTGCTGCTCCTGCTCCTGCTCCTACTTCTACGACGACGACGACGACGACTACTACTACTATTACTGCTACTACTGCTACTACTGCTTCGCCTACTACGACGACTACCACTAATAATATTAAAACCAACATACTAACACTAGTACTGTTAGGCAAGAAAATAATAAAGTCATACCAATACGCATCCACTAACAAATATGCCTCAAGCTTCAAAATAATGAAACAATATTTGGGGCATGGAGAAAAGATTTCCTTTATACACCAGGCACCCCATTTGTCAAGGTCTGTATTCGGTCCCACTTGTCGTTGAAATTTGGACAATCCACATTTCTGCTGGCCAGCTTGGCACTACGGATTGTCGCCCAAAAAGGTTCCGGCTTCTGCCCTGCCACCTCCAGTATCTCCCTGTGTTATAGGGCAGAACCTAATTTGAGCTGTTTACAACGACTCACGACAACCACAAAGACGACTGCCACGATGACTAGCATGATACTCAAAGCCGAGAGGCAGCAGAACCACGCGCAATGGAGCGGATTCGACCTCGGACAGACCCTGCTTCGACAGGCAACTACAATTAAATGTAAATGTAAACAACACGTTAAACCCTCTACCATGATGTAGCGCGCAAAAATGGGGGTGTGGCATGATGACATGGGACCAAGGATTTAGGAATGACAGTGGAGCTCCTTACTTTGCGTAGGCAGCTCCGGAAAGAACTTCTTGCCACACTCTTGGGCAAGCTGACGAAGCAGCAAGAACCACCAGAAGCGTCTGCACAGGAGACCATATCAATCAAAACAACGTGTCGGACTTCAGTGGGCGCCGACACTGAACAGCGAAACCGAACAGCATCGCACCCAACACAATCCGGAACTGCAGGAACCTGAATCGTGTTTAACAGAAGCCGCACAAACTACAGTATAGGAAGGAACAACCATGTGTGCAGGCCTGTGTGTCTTAATAAACATATCTATATATATATATATATTCTAAATACTAAGCCAACAAACAAATAAAGAAAACAACAAAAACAAAACAAAGCAAACCAACAAAGCAACAAACAAACAAACATACAAGCACACAAACAGAAACAAACAAACGAACAAACAAATACACACACCACACATGCATACATATATATATATATATATGTGTATATATGTATATGTATATGTATATGTATATGTATATGTATATGTACGTATATGCATTTATGTATGTACGCATGTATACGTGCGTATACATACTTACATATATATATATATATGTATAATATACATGTGTGTCTGGTCTACACACACACACACACCTGTTCTGCAGTCATCACCTGACACGCTTGCTTGCTTCGCACGTTATGCAGGCTACAGTAGTGCGGGGCAAAAACGGATGTCGGGGTCGGCTTGGACATTTCAGGTTTTTCGACACCCACAGTACTCACACTCGTGCAAAGCCGGGCAAGGTCTGCAGAGGATACGGGTTCGGCGATGCTATCAAAGTGAGCTTTCAGGAAGCATGCGCAGAAACAAACATCAGCCGATAAGACGACCAGATTTTGGGCCTTCGGGCACCCAACCCCGAAAGCACCAAGGTGAGGTGAATGGAGTAAGGGCGGCCGGAGGCTGGGCTGGATACTTGCGCGTTTTTTGACGGGGCAGGTGGGCGGGCGGGGCGATGGCAATTCCAACGCGGAGGGAGGGGTGGGCTCCTGTTTGTGTATATCTATATATATATATATATTATCTTATATTATCTTATATTATCTTATATTATATTATATTATATTATATTATATTATATTATATTATATTATATTTATGTAGATGGAAAGCAAACCCAGCCAAGACTTAATGCCGGAATGCCTTTCCAAGGACACGATTTGAAAAGCCAGGGTGCCCAAAAGCGTCGCAAGTCTACGCCGTAAGCCAGCCACTGTGGGAACAAGATGATCGGCAGAAAGATCGTATAATAGCCTCGGGCCGGCATAGAGATCATGGTGCGGATAGGGAGACATATATAGCGATGTAACATCACGTCACGTCACTGCTTGAGAAGTGCGAGGTTAGCTTCTCTTCTGCGTCTTGTCCGGCGGCAAAGTTTTAGGCTCTGGTGCGGAGTGCGGAGCAGCTGCTTCGTGGAGTCTTTGGTCGTCATGACGGCAGGCGTTCGCGCTTGTTGCTAACACACCCCACTCTCGGAACCAGTCAGTGCTGCCAGGAAGCAACAGCTCTGAACAAGACCGCGCCTCCTTCAGTAGGACATGCAAGCAAGTCTGGGTTGTCAGAAAGCAGACCAACATCATGAGTTTCGGCATGCCAATGGTCATACACGAATCTTGCATGCACCAATGGAGAGTACTGACAAGCCTACATCCTGGAGCCACCCTGACCTGGACATGAGCATGATGATGCCCCTTTGTGGCGGTTTTGTCTTGTTGCTGCTGCTGTTGTGGGTGGTGCTGTTGCGGCAGTTGACACTGATGCTGTTGATGCCGACGGTTGGGACCTGAGTACCACCATTGGTGGTACTCTCTGGAGCTCGATAATCGTCATGATGGCGATTAGCTGCACTCCTTCAACAGCGACATCACTGTGATGCCCAAAAGGTTGATGACTCTTCTGAGTCGTCTGGTAGTTGCGGAAAAAAGGTTTTTAATGATATCGTTTTTCTTGCACCGACGGGGCCCGGGCCATGGTCCGGGTTCCCGGGTTCTGTGTTTCGGTGCCCGGGTCCTGTTCCGCTTAGTTCCCGGTTCCAGATGTCTAAGGACGAGACAAGCGATTTTAGGCGATCGTGGTACATATTTTGTTTGAAGGTGCCGTGCACCATATGATGAACTTATCTGCAGGCAAAGCGGTTAGCGACTGCCAGCATGAAAACAGCAGCTCTAACATGGGCCTATATCTGTCTAACCGCCTACTATCCGCACCACGACTGGTGCTATCGTCCTGTTTCCGACCTATCTAGCACCAAGTGCAAAACGAAGCCCAGCCTTGGTCCCCTCTTTCTTGCATGAAGAAAGCATTTGACCTGCAAGTCGTGGAAGGAGATGTCCGAAGCTCTACGTAGGTTTGGGCAGGGTTGTCACAATGGCCTGAAGACATTGCAACCCCATGCTGGATGCTTGAGGTATACTTCCGGATCTTCAAACTGGAAGTGGAAGGTTACAAAGTTCTCATGATGGAGCTTTATGACATTACGGCCATTCGTCGCCTGTGGAAACGGAACTTCTACGAGTAGCGCATCCAGTGGATTAACTTCAAGCTTCCGTTTGATGCGGCTGCAGCACGTGGTGGAGCGGCCAGCACACACCCCACAGCCTGTCCAAACAATGTATCGCGAGAGATGACGTTTGTGGAATCAGCACATGTCGGCACGCTGCGAGACTTGTTCCTAGCTTTTCAAGTGAGACGATTTGAGGGTTCTTTTCGCCAGCAGCACATACCAGGAGAACGAACCGTCACATGGAACAAAAAACGAGCGAGAAGCTTTCTGCGCCATGCGCCTTGTGTTGTACATCTCCACCAATTGCTCCGAGACGTCGACTTCCCAAAGCCTGGTTTCATGCTTCTTAGAGATCGTGCGCCAGGTTCAGGCCTTCCTTCTAGCAGCTGTATTCTGATCACGTGAAGGGCCGAAGACTTCCGATGAAAACAAGCAGGCCTCTTGGTAGCCTCCCAGCCGAAGAAGTAGGCCTGTCGGTCGGCTGCCACAAGCTCTTACGCCCAAAAAGCTGTAACCGCTGGCCTGTGTGCAGAACTCCGTGCTGCATGCCAACAGCTCCGATCTCGAGGACATGTACAGACCTACAGCCAGCAACAAACTGTGGACCCTTGCTTTGATTTCTGAACGTTGGGTACGCTAAGTATGCATGGGAAACGACTTGATCACTTTCTACCTATTCGTTTTCCCTCCCTCCCTCCCTCCCTC